CTCAGCCCAACCCCCCCACCTCCACAAATACACACCCAATGACCACCCGCGCCAAAGCTGGCATCCACTGCCCCAAATCCATCCTAAACCTTAACACTTCAGCTACCATCTCACCACTTCCCCCAACCTATCGTAGTGCACTGAAAGATCCTAACTGGTATGATGCAATGTGTGATGAATTTAATGCTTTAATAAAGAATAACACATGGGAATTAGTACCCCCCTCCCCCACTCAAAATGTTATCACTGGCAAATGGCTTTTTAGACACAAATTTGGCCCCACAGGTGATCTGTCTAGGTACAAAGCTCGTTGGGTAGTCCGAGGATTCAACCAGCGTTTCGGCATTGATTACAGTGACACGTTCAGTCCGGTCATCAAACCGGCCACCGTCCGGATTGTCCTTAGCTTGGCTCTCGCTCGGGGCTGGCCCATACACCAGCTTGATGTCAAGAATGCTTTTCTCCATGGCCACCTTCAAGAAACCGTCTATGCCAGGCAGCCTTCTGGGTTCGAGGATCCATCACGCCCACACCACGTTTGCAAACTCAAGAAGGCTCTTTATGGCTTAAAACAAGCCCCTCGCTCATGGTATCAACGGTTTGCTGGATTTCTACACCACATCGGATTTCAGGGCTGCAAGACTGATACTTCCCTATTTGTTTACACACGTGGCACACACATGGCATACTTGCTTCTTTATGTTGATGACATTGTGCTCACAGCCTCGACGACCATGCTCTTATCCCAGATCACAGAGCGCTTAAAAGGAGAATTTGCCATGACAGATATGGGGGAACTTAATTTTTTTCTCGGCATCAATGTTCAGCGCACCAAACAGGGATTGTTCCTACATCAGACTCAGTTTGCCCACGAAATTCTGGACAGAGCAGGTATGACTCACAGTAAGCCCATCTCTACTCCCGTGGACTCCAAAGGGAAATTGTCCGCTACAGATGGTGACCCAGTCCCCGATCCATCTCTTTATCGGTCCCTTGTTGGTGCGCTTCAGTATCTCACTTTCACCCGACCCGATCTCACATATGCAGTCCAACAGTTATGCCTCTATCTTCACGCTCCTCGGATGCCCCATCTTACTGCTTTAAAACGGGTTCTCCGTTATCTACAGGGCACCTCTACCTATGGGATCACTCTATCCCGTAGCTCCACCGATCTACTTCAGGCCTACTCCGACGCTGATTGGGCTGGTTGTCCTGACACACGACGATCCACATCTGGCTACTGTGTTTTTCTCGGGGACAATCTCGTCTCATGGTCATCTAAACGACAAGGAACCACCTCTAGATCTAGTGCAGAAGCCGAGTATCGAGCCGTAGCAAATGCTGTTGCTGAAACCAGTTGGATCCGAAATCTTCTACTTGAACTCCATCAACCACTTCGCCGAGCAACCATTGTTTTCTGTGACAACGTCAGCGCCGTTTACTTATCCTCCAATCCAGTGCAGCATCAGCGTACCAAGCATGTCGAAGTTGACATTCACTTCGTAAGAGACAAAGTAGCGCTGGGTCAAGTTCGAGTCCTGCATGTTCCCTCTTCCTCCCAGTTCGCAGATATCTTCACTAAGGGGCTGCCTTCGATTATCTTTACTGACTTTCGACACAATCTTGGGGTTCGTAGATCTCCAACGGAGTTGGCAGCATGTTAAATATGTTAAGCATATTTATTTATATATGTTAAGTATATTCCTTGTATCAATTATAATATATACCATAATTGTATAGGATCCATATATAATATTGTTTCCTTATTGTAAACCCCTCCACTTTGTATATAAAGGGAGGTAGAATCATTGTATTAATTAGAGAAAATAATAATTTTTCAGTTTTTATATTAATATTTTTAAAATTTATGCGGGGCGAAGGATTATATGTTTATGAAAATATGGTAAAACTAGATCATTTATATTTGATGTTTAAATAATATGCATCTAAAGGAGGCAAGTCATTTAAAATTCTCCATAATGTAGAATCGACAAAAAATTTGTTTAACCCCGTGCATGGTATGGGTTAAAATACTAGTAAAATTATAAATAAAAGAGTGCAATTAAAATAAAAGATACTAAGCGCCTTGCCTCCTCCTATCGTCTCAATGTCAAGTTTCAAAAACATGTTGTGAGTATAGTCTCTATTAAAATACTCCAAAGGCTCATAATAATACCTCACTTTTGGATTAAGATCTTTAATTATCCAACATTATTTAATTTTTAATTCTAGTTTTATAAACATTAATGTATAATTATTAAAAAACGTGTATAATTCAAAAGTACTTCAAAACTTTTACAAAACAAGTGATAATAAGATTATTTAATTTTATTAAATGATCAATAAAAATAAGTAAAAAATAAAATATAATTTGACATTGTAAATAATATAGTAAAACATTATTATGAGACGACTGGAGTCTTGTAATTCCTAAAGCCAATTTATGAGTACTTCTGGAAAATAATTTTCTTATTAGCCATCCCATTAATTGCCTTATTGCCTTATGTTTACCAAAAGAATGGTCTAATGTGTGCTGGCATTTTTTAAATCTCTCCGTAATATTTCGTCTAACGAGTCATTCTTGGTTAGAATCCTTAAATTTTAACCTTTATTTTCAATTGGATTAAATATGTTTTTTAGTTAAATAGGCGAGCTTTTTATATATTTAGTCTCTGTAAATAGTTTTTTTAACTCATCTTTACAAAAAAAACTTATTTTAAAAATATTTCTTAAACGTATTTAACACTTTTAATAAGATGATATAGCACATTTATTTCATATTCACTATTTCAGTCTTGCATTTCTAATTACCTCCAGCACAATTTCCAAGTCCTGAATTATATACTTATTCATATTACATCTTCAATTCCAAATTCCTTAGAAATGTAAGGTTACTAAAATTTGATTTTACAAAAGAAATAATTTAGGGCATGAGATTTGTGTATAGAATAATTAGAAATGCAAAACTATACGGTAGCATACGAAAGAAATGTGTTATGTCAACAAAATAAAATTAAAGTCTTAATTATATATAAGAATCATTTTCAAAATAAAAAATTTTGTAGCAATAACTTGAACAAAAAATATTTTACGAAGGCAAAAAATAGAACGCATCTATTTTACAAGAAGTATTTAATTCTTTTCAATTTAAAACTTTCCAATTAAATCGTTCATAATTAAGCTATACTTTAAAATATAGAGCCGTGTTGGCGTAGTAACAAAAGATAGGGTGAGCGTGGTACGACATGATACGGTATTTAGTTCGTACCGATACCGTATCAAATATTTCCGTTTGGTATGTGATTTTACATCGTACCGATCCCGATCCCAAAGTATCGGTTCGGTATGGTTCGGGATGGTTTGATTTCGGTTTCGGTAAATATTGGGATAAATATGTATACGTACCTAGTTTACACTTTGAAATGTACAAGATTTTTTATTTTATAAAAATAGAAAGTACATTCAAATAAAGAAAGATAAACAATTGAAAAATAAATAACTAAATGCAAAAATACTTATAAAACGTAGTTTAATTTATACTTCATATTTCACGAACAAAAGAGAATGAATGATAACAAAATAGCATTTCAAATGTTTGTTAATTTTTTTATATTCATATACAAAAAAATAAAATTCAAATACATGATTATATAAATTAAATGAAAGATTATTTGTAAATCATATACACTTGAACCAACTTTTCAAAATCAATTTATTTTTTAAAGTAGAAATATAAAAACATTGTTATTTTTATAACATATTTGTATATATGTCCAGTTCGGGATTTTTCAGTATGGAAAGC